CCTGGGGCTCGTAAAGATCTCTCCACATATGGAACAAGTGAGTTCTCTTTCAAGATTATTCGCAAACACATTGAGCTCCGCCATTGTAGTGCTGAGCGTCTGAAAGTTTCCCGGAAAAACTATTTTTATCTTACACGTAATTACATTGTTATGACAACTTGTCGTGACATATTCTGACATATTAGTGTCTATAAGGAAGAAAGAGAGAAAAAAACAAGAAAAAATAATTAAAGAGAAAGCAAAAAGAATCATTGTTTGTTGAAGTAATGTTTAAAGGCCGACAATGAGGAGGCCTTTGAACGACTTCAAAAACTCATTAAATATTCGGGAGGGGAAAAAAGCGAAGGAAATACATATAACAGAAATATATTGATTAATTGCATCTCCACTAAGGTTTTCAGTTTTCATAATTTTGAATACATGAAGCACCGTTTGTTGTTCTTCAATTCCAGGACGGCTTTCTGAAACAAAAGCTATTCAAATTGTCTTTGTCTACTATTCATAGCATTCCTAATGAGCATAATCCATAAGATTTATAAGTATGTTATCTTCCGAGGAATCGCATCAGAAACTCGGTGGTGTAATGGTATAAGATGCGGCGCATATAGTCTGGACGGTAGGGGAGCGAGTCGTGAGGGAGTCATGTATCAAAGACTTTTTTTCACTAAATTAATGTTAAACTGATTATTTCTAATAATTTGATTATCATTAGCTAGTAGTAGTTGGAAACGTGGTAGAAGTAACTGGAAATAAGGTAGAAATAACTGGAAATAATGTAGAAGTAACTTGAAAAAGGTAGAAGTAACTGGAAATAAGGTAGAATATAATGTACGAGTACTTCCTCTGGTTTCAAGTTACTTCACGTGGTACAAATTACAATCAGGGATTGGCTGAATACCTCATGAATAATTAATGAGTTTTTGAAAGCAGCTTCTTAATTTCAGAATTAAACTGAAAATCAGCCTGACAATAAAGCTCTATTTTGACCTTACTACTTATATGCAACACAAGGACACACTAACGCTTGGGCAGGTCGGTCAGCCAGTCCAAGGACGCTTGCCGGCAAAATATTGATTTCAAAATCAACAAAAACAACGAAAGCATGCAAAATTGTGACAAATTATAAATTCAAAACCATGTGAGCATGCGTTGCCTTTTCAATATATGGAACATAATGTCCCACATGTATGGGAGCTAAAGTTTATCATAAGACTCGATAATAAAAAATGCAAAAATATTATTTTCAAGTCATTTCAATATTAAGCAGATGATATTGTAGCATTCCC